TCCTCAGTCCAGATATGGTCACTTCCTGTTCACTGGTTGCAAAACAACAACATGGCAACGGCCATAATCCAAAATGGCGACGGGGAAATCGCCAAACTTTAAATACTTTAAAACAATCCTTGGTATTAAAAATACCGGTTGCTGTTAAGCTAGCGGGCTAGCCGTAGCTTAGCTTAGGTTACACCATAGAATTAAAGTAGGAGTAGAAGGGACATTCCAATTGAAATCAACACAGCAGGATGGTCAGAGCGGCAGCCATTTTTTTGTGTACTGTTACCATTGCAGCTGTTCTAGCCGGCTAACTTTCCCATAAACTAAACCGACTTATGGCAAGTTGCGGACTCACTGAGCATAAAGAGTAAACGAGTAGAATATAACAACTTAATGCTTCACTGACATCAACAGGAGAGTGAACACTTTGTTTGGCTAGATGTTTGTAAACAGTGTAGAATTCAGTGGAATTAGCAAGCTAGCTAGCTAACTCTTGGACAGCTGGTTCGTTAGCTAGCTGGCTAATTCCAGCATGTGTTAATGACCCATCACTGATCTGAGGTTCACATGAGAAGAACCGTGAGGGGAGATCCGTTACATTACTAGTAAATATGACCGTTGTGAAATGGGAGACATTCGTTCCTGCTGCTGTGATGCTTCAACGTATTTAATAATAAATATATACAGAGCCACCAGATACATGCTGATCATGAAGATTGGACAAAAAATTGGTCTAAATATTACTCAGTTGACAAATGGATTAAAAAGCGTCCGCCTCCTTTTATTACAGGCTGTATATTTATGGTTAAATTCATTATTATTACTGAACTCTTCTTTCAGAGGACTGTCTATCGGGTCTGCAGGAGTGTTCCTGAATCCAGCCGAATGTAAGTCTCTCTTTAACCTGTACTCAACTAGTTAAACTAGAAGCTAAACTAACTAACATGCCGTGAGTTCAACTCATATTTCCATCTGAAGCGTTGCACCCTTTGATGTTCTGTATCTCTGTGTCATGATGTCGTAGCTTTTTCAAACAGGAAAGAAGTGTAAAAGTGATTTTCTTTTAAATTATTATTATTTGCATTGCAAGAATATGTTGATGCTTATTTTTTGTAACATGAGTTTGAGTCTCACTTCCTGTTTGAACGTCTTGCTCTGCAGGAATAGAGCGACTGCAAAGCATCTCATCGAGCGCTACTTCCGGCAGTTAACTGACGGCTGTGGAAATGGCGACTGCACGAATGAGTTTTGTGCGTCGTGTCGTGACTTTCGACCTCTGGATAAAAATTCAGCGGCGGCCAAAGCGCTCGAGCTGTTTAAGATCAACGCCAAACTCTGTAATCCTCACCCCTCCGAGAAAGACACTCCGGACGGTGAGATGAGCGAGACGGACCTCTGTCCCACCAAGGAGGACTTCTCAGGTAACGCTGACTCTCACGGACGCTGGCTTTGAGCTTTGAGTCAAGTTCACCGTGTTAATTCGATTTTTTTCCCCTGTTTTGGTCCAGATGTTCATTACCTCACGGAGAACACGGTCTGTATGATCCTGAGTTTCTGTGAGGAGAGGGGCGACTACTCCGCACTCATCCGCATCATCGGCAGGATTTTCTCCAATTCGGACGCCTTGACGAAGAGTTTCAGGAAGGACGAACCCGTCGATGCTGAAAACCCGGACTCATGTGAACCGACAGATGTGGACGAGCAGGAGAAGCAAAGCTCAGAAACGACGGGCGCTTCCCTACCGGACGAGGGTCTCGATGAGATGCTGGACCCTTGCGAGGTGACGGTGGACATCGACGCCGTGAGGAGGGTCTACGACCGACTTCTGAGCCTCGACCAGGTGGAGGCCGCTTTGGTGAACGCACTCGTTTACCTTACTCCCAACATGGAGCTCGACCTGGAATACCTCGACGTGTACGAGACGAACCCAGACTACCTCAACATCTTCATCATCGTGTTGGAGAACAGTAACCTCCACAGCCCCGAGTACCTGGAAACGGCTCTGCCACAGTTCTGCAAGGCCATGAGCAAGCTGCCAGTGGCAGCGCTCGCCAGGCTGTCGAAGCTGTGGTCCCGGTACGGACTCGCGCACATCCGCCGCATGACTGAGACCTTCCAGCAGCTCATCACGTTCACGGTCGTCAGCAACGAGTATGACGGCGAGACTTTGGTGAACGACGACACTACCGTGGTGGCCACTACGCAGTGTTTGAAGGTCGCCTTCTACGCGAGTATCCTGGGTGGCGACGTGGACGTGGAGCACAACGAAGAGGAGGAGGAAGACTCCGAGTCCGACGAGCTCACCCTGCACGAGCTGCTGGGCGAGGAGCGGCTCTACAACAAAGGTCCTCCGGTCGATCCGCTGGAGAAGGAACTGGGAGTCCGACCCGTGGACAGTATCAGACCCCTCCTCCCCTACGAGGACTTTGTGAACGAGTCGCTGAACGACGTGGTGGAGATGGACAAGGACTTCACCTTCTTCAAGGTCAACGCAGAAACCAAGTTCTCCTTCCAGAGCTGCCCCTTCATCCTCAGCATCATCACCAAGAACCAAGGGCTGTACTACGACAACCGGATCAGGATGTACAGCGAGCGGCGCCTCACGGCCCTCTACAGCATGGTCCAGGGCCAGCAGCCCAACCCCTATCTCAAGCTCAAGGTCCGCCGGGATCACATCATCGACGACGCCCTCGTCAGAGTGAGTCACGGCGACATGTCCGACGGTGTGCTCATAGTGTCTGTGGTTTAAACCATAGAGTGTCTATGAGTGTCATAGACACTCTATGGTTTGAACGATAACGTCCCTGCCGTATTTACGCCTATTTCACGTTATGTTGAGGCGTTGATGGAGCCGCTACAATGTTAGTATAGCCTAGCAACAATCGACCCAAACTCCAATAAAAAAACAAGCATTTTAAAAGTAGTTTGCTTGTCGTCTTTTTGACAAACCTGACAAAGTATGAATTCAGACTTTTTACAAATCTGCATCATTATGCAGTTATTTCAGCATCCTTTTTATCCATTTATTGCAATTAAATAACAGCAAAATATGTTTATTTTGGCTTCATAACGCTGTAGTAAACCAGCCGACGTGTCAAACGATCAATCTGCTTCTTATTTTGTGTGAACACATTAATGTTACAGTTGCATGTTGTGACATGTTTAGGCTCCGCCCTCTTGTGTTTTCTCCATGAATTCGACCCTCTTGTGTTGCAGCTGGAGATGATCTCCATGGAGAACCCATCCGACCTGAAGAAGCAGCTGTTTGTGGAGTTCGAGGGGGAACAAGGTGTAGACGAGGGCGGGGTCTCAAAGGAGTTCTTCCAGTTGGTCCTGGAGGAAATCTTCAATCCCGACATAGGTGAGACCAGAAATCACAAGTTTACAGAATAGCTCAACGTTTAAGGAAATGCTCTTCTTTGCTTTATAGATGAGATGATTGATACCTTTTGGTTTCTATTCCTTCATGTATTTCTCTCTGTTTTGACTTCCTGAAAAGGAATGTTCAGCTACGACGACGACACCAAACTGTTCTGGTTTAACTCGTCCTCTCTGGAGAACGAGGCCCAGTACACTCTAGTTGGACTCGTTCTGGGGCTCGCCATCTACAATAACTGCATCCTGGACGTTCATTTCCCCATGGTGGTCTACAGGAAACTCATGGGCAAGAAGGGGACCTACTTGGACCTGTCAGACTCCCATCCAGTACAGTAACTTTCTCCAAAGTTAACATATGCAGTGAAAGTTCTGTATACTGTTCTGTATTTCTGACTTATTATTATTATTATTATTCTGTTTTTTTACTACAGGGTTTACTTAGTTACATGTAACAAACCAAACTGTAGCACTTAAAGAAACCTTTTGGGAAACATTCCTATTCGCTTTCTTGTTGAGAGTTAGATGAGAAGATCTACATCCCTCTCATGTATCTTAACGTGTTGGGGGTCGCGGTACATTTACACCAAATCAGTCAATACGGCGACAAACACCAGTCCTCCCCTTCATTTAAATGTGGGTGATGTGTTTGACTTGTGGCGGTGGGGACCCACAGACTGTGTATGAGAAGTGGACGTCGTCATGATGACGTCACTCATCGGTTTGTGGATGTTTTTGAAGCCTTGAATTCAGCGATTTTGTCGTCGCCATCTTGTTTTTTTTGTACCCAGTGAACAGGAAGTGACCATATTAGGACTGAGGAGGAGTGACGTAGATACGCCGTATACGTCTCTGGTAGAGACCTGTCAATCACCGTGTAGCCC